TAGAATTTTTATAATAAAAAAATATTTAGTATAATCTTAATAATAAAATATTCTATTTATAGTAACTTCGCAAACAATTTTATAAAATAATTCAGCTCTTCTAAACAGATCCTTAGAATCTAATCTCAATTATATAAATTAAATTTTCAATTCTCAACATTTAAAAAATATCTCTCTTTTTTTTGTAATTATATTAATTTATATTTTATGCTGACTCATTACAGCATTTGTTCTTAGGCCTGTCAACATTTGACACGACCCGAAAACACGACCCGAACCTGAAACGAGTCGGGTTCGGGTTCTGTTTTTTGACCCGTATGCCATTTCGAGTCGGGTTCGGGTCAACCTGGGTAACCCGAAAGTGACCCGTTTCGACCCGTTTTCGTATTTACAAATTTACCCTCTTAGGGCATTTAACTAGCCATTAACCGAGACCGAGAGTACGCCATTCGTGAGTTGTGACTTCGTCTCTCTTCGAGCGAGAAAACCATAAGCTAGGGCTGGTTGATTTCGCTGAGATTTCCTCCTCTGCACCTCTTTAATTCTTCGTCATCGACTCATCGGCTCATCGCCTCATTGGTTTGATTTTTTGGTTAACTTTCTTTCGGTTATCTACTTATCTTTTGGTTATCTTTGAAGAATTGAAGACAAGCAATGAGTGTTGCAATTTTTTTTTTTTTTTGATTTTTTGTTACGGAGGCACTGCTACTGCTAGAGAGTGGAGACTATAGTGGTTTTTTTTTTTGAGTTATTTGCTTCTTCGATTCTTCCTTCCAATTTGAAGTTGCTGTGGATTTGAAATACTGATTAGAGCTTCACATTTTGTGCTTTTATCTGTGGCTTTGATTATCTGTTATGGCCCTCGCGGTGGAAGCACCGCTCAGGTATACAGGGGAATTCAATTAACACTGGAAGGGTAGAACACATTTCAATTTCAGCGGCAACCCAGGGCAGGAGGGAGCAAAGACAAGTACAAAAATTGAAATTGGCAATATCTATTATTCATTTATTCTGCTTGGCTGTTGCCTGTGGGTTGTCGGCCTTGTGGCTGTTATCGGCCTTGTGAGTTGTGGCTGTTTTCACTTATTAGTGTATCTGTGTATGAGTGTATCAGTGACTCAGTGTATTGACTATTAGAATTCTTTGTTTCCTGTTGGCTGTTACCTGTTGCCTGTTGGAAGTGTGTTATATGCAATTACAACAATTTCATATTTCACTGATTTTGTATTTGTGTGTTGGATATTTTTTTAAGGTAAATTGTCATTTTTCATTTGTATAATTTGATATAATTTTTGCAATAGATGGAGGATTCAAACACACTTTCTGAAAATTATATTCAAGAAAATGATGAAGTTCGCATTGAAGACAATGTGGTAGAGGGTTTAGATGCATCTGATGATGCTTGTGATGATGGTTCAGTCATAATTAAGAAGCGTAGAAGGATAACTTCGAAGGTTTGGAGTCATTTTGAGATGTTACCTAATCCTACAGATGGTAAACAAAGGTGTAAATGTAAAAGATATGGTGCTCAATATTTATGTGATAGTAAAAATGGCATTGGTAACTTAAGGAGACACTTGCAAAATTGCAAGAAAAGAGATTTACGTGATATAAGACAACTCATATTGAAAACTGGTTCTAGTGCATCTATTTCTAAGGTTGATCATAAGTTTGACAATGCAGAATTTCGTGATTTATTTACTGCTTGCATAATTATGCATGATTTGCCCTTACAATGTGTTGAATGGATGAGTGTTCGATCACTTATGACATATCTTCGTCGGGATGTTCAAATGTTTTCTAGGAATACATCAATGAATGATTGCAAGAAATTATTCACTAAAGAGGTTTGTAACATTCGATCAAACTTAAGTAAGTGCACTAGCAGAGTTTCTGTTACATCTGATTTGTGGACATCTATAAACACTGATGATTTTATTTGTTTGACCGTGCATTATATTGACAATGAGTGGTATTTACACTAAAAAAATAATTAGTTTTTCTTTTATGCCACCGCCCCATGATGGGATAGCACTATGTGAGAAATTGCAGTCTCTTTTTCTTGAATGGAAAATAGAATCTAAACTTTTCAGTGTTACCATAGACAACGCTTCCACAAATAATGTATGTGTTGACTACTTGAGAAATCAGTTAAATTTGAGAAGAGCTTTGCTATGTGAAGATCAGTTTTTCCATATTAGATTCACAGCTCATATTGTTAATCTTATTGTTCAATAGGGAAAGAAGGAGATTGATGCTTCAATCTCAAAAATCAGAGAGAGCATAAAATATGTCAAGGGATCTCAAGCTAGGAAACAAAATTTTTTAGATTGTGTGAAACAGAGTTGCTTGGAATCGAAAACTTGTTGTGTTTTTTTGGGTACATGTGCTGCCAGCTGCTTCAGTTCTGTGCTGGTTCTTTTGATCTGTGCTGGTTCTTTTGAATGCCGATTCATATGATATTTTGATATGTGCTGTTTCGTGTATCCTGCTGCTTCTTATGATTCATTTGAATATTTGATTAAGCATTAAATATTATTTGTTGTTGTTTTGAAGTGATGAAGCGATGATGATCAACCTTCTCAAATTATAATGGAACTCCACTTTCATAATGTTAGAAAGTGCTCTATATTACCACAGGGCTTTCCAATAATTAGAGTTGGGTGACTCCAACTTCAAAACATGTCCAGTAAATTCAGAATGGGAAAGAGTAGAGAAAATTTCAACATTCTTGAAACCTTTTTATGATATAACGTGTGTTATCTCTGGCACGAAGTATCCAACGACAAATCTATATTTTTCATGCATATCTACAGCTTATGCTACATTTAAACATGAATTGATAGATGGCCCTGATTATATAAAACAAATGTGTAGAAGTATGATTGCAAAATTTGAAAAGTATTAGCATGATTTTAGCGTCATTCTTGTAATAGCAGTTATTCTTGATCCGAGATATAAATTCGCATTTGTAGAATGATGCTACAAGAGGTTATATGTGGGTGATTATGTGTTTGAGGTAAAGAAGGTGAAAAACGGTTTGTTCTCATTATTCACGAATTATGCAAGCAATAATGTCAATGTTCCGGCATATGTAAGTGAACGACAAAATACTGAATGCACAAGTCGTTCGTCTTCCACTGTTATAAATTCTCAATTTCTTCAGGTATAACTTTTTTTAATTAACAATGTATGAATCCTTTGAGGCTTAACTTATTTGCATCAATGCTCACTCCTTACATTCCAAAACAGGATTTTTGATTTCTTTGAGGAGGAGGTAGAAATTCCAAAAAAACCAGTACTGGAGATGTATCTTGATGAACCAAAAATAGATAGAAAAATTGAGCTAGATATCTTACATTTTTGGAAAGCCAACCAATATAGATTTCTTGAGGTTTCTACAATGGCACGTGATGTTTTGTGTATTCCCATATCAACTGTTGCCTCTAAAAGTGCTTTTAATAATAGTGGGCGAATCCTCAATCAATATCAGAGTGCACTAAAATATGATATCGTTGAGGCTTTGGTTTGTGCCAAGGATTGGCTATACGGGGATAAGGGTGCAGTTTTTCTAAACTTTTACTTATATAATTACGCTTTCTTTAGTAATTAAGAGCTGAATATTAAAAACATATTATTATTTGTTGGTTTGTTGCAGTTATACATGATTATGAGCTTGAAGCTGTGACTGAAGATGTCCTTACTTTAACAGTAAATGAACTTGAGACAAATGCTGGGGAAAGTTCTGTTATATAAAAAATTTATTTGGTTGTTTGGTACTTTGGTACTTTGGTTTAATGTTGAACTTGAAAGACAATTATTTCTTTAATGTTGTATTTCTACAAGTGTTTTTGGTTTCGGGTTACCTGTTGTTTGCTGCTTCAGTTCTGTGCTGTGCTGGAAAACTTTAGCATGTGCTGCTGTGTTTATTGATGTGAAAAATTTATTTGGTTGTTTGTTGCAGTTATGTACACGATCAAGAACATTAGCATATTCTGTAATCTGCAACATTCTGGAAAACTTGTTGTGTTTTTTTGGGTATATGTGCTGCCAGCTGCTTCAGTTCTGTGCTGGTTCTTTTGATCTGTGCTAGTTCTTTTGAATGCCGATTCATATGATATTTTGATATGTGCTGTTTCGTGTATCCTGCTGCTTCTTATGATTCATTTGAATATTTGATTAAGCATTAAATATTATTTGTTGTTATTTTGAAGTGATGAAGCGATGATGATCAACCTTCTCAAATTATAATGGGAATAACCGAATAATTTCAGAATAAATGCTATTACAACTAGGAGACATTTGTAATTTTGTATTCAAGTCAAATAAGTGGATACTACATATATAAATGAATAGATACTAACTTAATGCAAAATATAATTCGTCTCCTTGGATGGTAATATGCTAATGTTGATTGAAATTTGAACATACACCTCATAAGGTGATTAAAGATTTGGAAGGTTTAATCTAAGCAATAAGCATCATATCTAACTTGTTAATTTCGCAAAATACAATTCTTCCTTGTTCTTTGAATACAGGTCGTGTACCTGAAGACTTGAAGTTGAGCCGTGCTTATTAGTTGAGCGGGAAAAGTGACGACCTAGTCATTTTGTTGATTTCTAATTTGTAAATGATATGTAATTTTTTTGTAAAAGATATGTAATTTTTTTGTAATTTATTGATTTGTAATTTGTAAATGAGATGTTTTTTTGTACATTTTAAAAATTTGTTTAACAATTAATTGAAGGGTATATATTTTTATTTGTAATTAAATACAAAAAGCTAATTTTAATTTTTTCGGGTCAAACGGGTCGGGTCGGGTTGACCCGGACCGGAAGCGGGTCGGGTTCGGGTCCAGCAAACTGACCCATTTCAAAAAATGGGTCGGATTCAGGTTGACCCGTATGTACCCGGGTCAGTTTCAGATTGAACCCGAATCCGACCCGTGACCCGGTTTTGACAAGCCTTGTTCTCCGATCTAAGCTTACTCGATCCGAGTTGGGGCTCGGCTAAGGATCTCGCTCGGATATTTTCTGAAAATTTCAACAGCAGAGCATTAAGCATCTTATCCCCGCAACCTACCTGTACTGTAACCCCGCCATGGAGACGCTGGGTTTGACGACTGCCTCATCCCGCCATCTCTCTTCGTCACCGTCTTCCTACTCCTCTCGCGCTGCCTTCTTTGGCCCGAGAAGGGTGCGAAGGCTAAAAGTTTCAGCAAATTTTTCTTCTTCGTGGATTGGCAAAAGCTTCTCCCTCGGTTCTTCGCAGAATAATGTCTTCACAGTGAGATAGCTCCGATCATCTTAAGAAATCACTCTCTTTTTACTCCCTATTTTGTTGCACACATTAAATTTAAATAATTTTTTTTTTATTTTGGTATTTTTCAGAGAGAAGTATGGGGTTGTGTCACTTCAACGTTTGCTAATGTTAGACGAGATAGAAGCTTCATTGTTAGGGCTGAGATGTTTGGGCAGTTGACAAGTGGGCTTGAAGCAGCATGGAGTAAACTCAAAGGAGAAGGCATTTCTCTTCTCTTTGTTCTGTTAAATTACTCCATTTCTTGTCATTTCTTTACTGAATTTGTTCTGTATTTCTTGCCACTTCAATGTTTTTATTTTGCTATAATTTGCCTTACTGTAATTGTTTGCATTGCTAAATCAAAGAAGATACGGCATAGTTGTATTACATTTACAAAAAAACAGATTAAGAAGTGAAAGAGATATAGGTTTTAAACAGCTTTGAACTTTTTTCGTTGTTGGTTAAGAAATTTTATTTTTTTCTATTCTTCTGAACAATAATTGTTCTTTTTTAATTTTTTTGTTGATTTATCTTTGCATTTATGTGCTGGCGATACAGAGGTTTTGACAAAGGAGAACATAGCTGAACCCATGCGTGACATTAGAAGGGCTCTTTTGGAGGCTGATGTATGTTAGCTGCATTTTCTTACTGGTTTCCTGGGTCTTATTTTAGTGTAACTCTGTATATGGCTCTCAAGCCTTTGATGCATTCTCTTTTGTGCAGGTGAGCTTGCCAGTTGTGCGGAGGTTTGTACAGACTGTTAGCGATCAAGCAGCTGGGGTTGGATTGATTCGAGGGGTGAAACCAGATCAACAGTTGGTAAAGGTTGGAGAATCTCACATTAGTATAATACGACAAGATAATATCATGGAGACTTAAAACTACATTTAAAAAAAAAAAAAATTATAATCAGGATGGCTATGGTATATGCGTTAGAGGGAAAAGCTCTTTCTTGCATCTTATTCATTAGAGAACCCAGCTATTATAAATAAATAAATAAAATCAATACAGCATTATAATACAGGATGAAATTGTATTTTAGCAATGCCCAAAGTGTCACTTCCATTGAAAAGAATATTATCAACATACATAAAAAAAATCATCATGCTAAAGGCAGAGTGTCAAATAAAATAGAGTGATCAGCAACATTACTTCATACTCCAACATTAGCTAGAACCTTGCAAATTTTGTTGAACCATGCATTAAGATTTTACTCTGCCCATATACAAGTTTTCAAATATTGCATATCTTGGTCTCACCTTGAGCAAAATGCCAAGAAGCTTGTTCTATATAAACAACTTTGGTTAGGTCCTCATATAGAAAAATATTATAACATCCACATTGTCCATTCTTGATAATCGACACTAGCAAGAGAAGAAAAACATGATTAAGCTAACCAATAAGTAACAAAATAGTCAATACCATATACGTGTGCATACCTTTTCGTCACCAATTGAGCGTTGTGGTATTCAATAGTCATTAGGATGAGACTTAATGGTGAAGACCCAACGATATGAAATAAGTTTATCTTAGGAGGTATTACCAAATCCTTTATATGGCTATCAATAAAGGCACCCATTTCAAGGTCATTTATATGTTTTCAATTAAGATCAAATAGAGCCTCCTAATATGCCTGGAAATTAGAGAGATTAGAAAAAGATGAGTAAAAACTAATAAAATGAAACTGTAAATGTTCGAAGGGTATAAATGAGCATTTAATGTCCAATACATTGACATTTACCTTTTGTAGAGCAATAGGAAGATGAAGATCCTAGGGATTAGTTTTTGGCGAATGCTAAACCGTAGTAGACAAAAGATGGGATGAGGTGCTTCATTATGAGACAAATAAAGCCCAAGCATAAAATTATAAGGTTGAAGCAAACATCATAGCTATAAATGGTTAGGAGATTTGTCAAGAGCATTGTTAGGAGCTGTGTAAGTGAAGGGGATGCCTTATTTAAGGTAGTATTGACAAATACATAGAGAATTCATGTATATGAATTCGAATTGTAACACCAATGATTTTTTGAGTATGAAAATAGCAACACCGAAAATGGTGCTTTGGTGAAAGCACAATTAAGTAGGTATCAAATGATGAGAATAACAACACAAAAAATATCGTGGAGCTGACATTTGAAACATTAATATGCAAGCAATATCTAGAAAGATATAGGCGTTTACGTTCAACCATTTTATTTTTTTGGCATGTATATGAACATGATGGTTGACAGATAATACTATTCTCAACATAAAAGGAGTGAAAGGAGATTAAATATATTAAAAATATTATTAATTTAAAGGGTTTAAATTTGTTTTAATTTTAAAATAAATAAATTTTTTACTTGATAAAATAGCTTGAATGTAAAGAAAACTTCTAATTATAACTTTAACAATGATCCCACAAAAAAAAAGCCATACTGTGGTAATCAATAGCAAAAATAAATGAATGAAAGCTCAAATGAGTAGACAACAGGCTTGATCTTAGATGTTTTAATATAATAAATTAGAAGTTTTTCTTTACTACGGGAAGAGGAAGATGTTGGAAAGGGAATACGGTGATGCTTATGATATTCACAAGTTTTATCATAAAATTTTGTATCAAAGGATGATACATAACTACATAAGTGAAAGCTAGAAGGCGGTGGGGTGGAGGGTGACCCAGGTGACACTGAAATATAGGAGGATAAGGCAATGAAAGCAACATAAATTAAAGATTAAATGTGTCTAGCCTCTATGCCTCTGTTAATCGTATTCTGTTGAGATCCTAAAAAATCCAGTAAGATGGATTAAATATTAGGTGTTTTGGAGAGGCAATATATAGACAAAATGTTTATACGAAATTATGGGATATACAAAATATTGTCTAATGTCAATGAGGAGGGATAAATAAATCCTTTTCCACAATAAAGAGAAGGAAAGCAATTCATCAACTATAAAAACTAGTGGGAGTGATTTAATTGTAAACCATAAAAATAATTATCGACTACCTGTCATATGAGAAAAAAGTCTAGATTCTAAATCATAAGATGCACCAGAATATGCAGTTGAAACCAATCCATTGGAGGATACAACTTGAGATGATTAAATGGTCAATTGATTGTGTTATAGAAGGCAATTATAGTCTGCTTTTGGAATGATAATTAAACTTGAAGGATCACTAATGGAATTAGTTCAAATACTGCTCGTATTTGAGACATACCAAGTTGCTAGAGGATAGCAAAAATTTTTCCAACAATGGTTGGACGAGTAATTTGTCCTTTATGAATGATAGCATGTTGGGAATGAGTTGCGATTATGATTATGGCCACAACCATGACAACCTCATCCATGATGGCTACAGTGGCAAAAGTTGTGTGATCCTAATTTGAAAAAGGTGAAGCAGATATTTAAGTGAATGGAGAACTTAATAGAGAGCAATGAAGACGTTTAGGACAATAAATTCCATTATCAACTGAGCTTGAACATATTGTGGGAATGGATGAGGCCTGAAGAGGTACTTGGCAACTAGAAACTCCTCATTTTGTTTATAGTAAGTGATTGGGTCGGTGGTAAAGTGGTAATATTGAAAAAAGTTCATATGATATTTCTTTCAAGATGTTGTAGTGCTCATATATAGATTTGTCACCATGTTGAAAAGAGAATAAGTCAAAGTAGAGTGCCTGCTCAAGTGATGTTGCTGAAAAGAGGTGGATTGGCGAAAGTATAATATCCCTTTGGTTGTCTCCTGAAACATGACAATAGATAATAATGGATTTCAGGGTATTGAGCATCCATATGAGAATAACAGTCTTAAGATTGCTATTTCATGTATTTGATTGTGTTCTTCCATTTTGGAGGAAGAGAAATAAGATTACAGCGCTTCTCGTGAAATCCTGTGAGAAAATGGAAAGCTAGAGAACATAGGAGATAGTTGTTATAATTGAATTTAATAGATGGTGAGGATTTCGTCTTGAGGAATAGAGTACTGGTTCCATGAATGATTATTATCATGAATGAAGGAAAAAAAAGTGATGGGTTTAGGTAATCATAGATCTGGGAACCTGTGAAAAGATATGAGATAAGAACATGGGGAGGGGTGGGCACACAATAATAAATGTGGTTTGAGTAGATGATAGGAGCTAGGTTGTGAGCTAATTTTGTGCGATTGCGTGCAATGGGAAGTAATGAGCTATAGATGGGAGTTATGCAATGGCAGTCAAGCATAAACGAGCTTCGTGCGACTAGAGCATGTAGGTGGCTAAATGGTTGGAGTTGCTTGTGGCTAGGGCTCATAGGCATAAAGCAGGTGTAGACATTCAGTGTATGACAGGATTGCGATTTAGGAGATAAGTGAACCCTACTTTGATGCCTTGTTTGAGGGGAAAACGCTTTCTCATCTCTTATTCATTGATGTACCCTTTATAATTATTATAGGAATGAGCATAATGTTCTAAGAAACAATCAAATAATTATACACACTCACTAAATATCTCTTTCCTAACTTGACATTTTTGCTATGCTAATAGTATGAATTTGAATGGGTGGTAATAAAGTTATTGATAATCAATTTGAGCATGGAAACAAAGATAATGTGTTAAAAATATTGGAATGATAGATTAAATAAAAAAGGAATATAATAGTGATGCACCCATAAGGTGATTAGTTAAAATTAGTGATTAGGATTTTGTAAGTAAATAAGATAGATTAAAAATAATATGGATAATTGAGAAAAAAATTGTACTGTATAAGTTGAATATCTCATTTTGTGCTTAATAGGAATGAATGGAAGAAGAGGGTATGTAAAGCTATCTACAATTAGTTGGGATAAGGCTAATAATGATGATGAAGTAGAAGTATTGCCTTATACCCATGATCGGGATCACTATCTTTCTGGTTCAGGGCAGAATTTCAGCTGTGTCCAACATTGACAGAAAATAAGCTTTTTTTGTTAAAAATCCTAATCTTTTCATTTAGATTTATAGAGTTTAGTATAAGTGATAGTACTCCTGCATCGCAGATTGTGCATGACGAGCTTGTGAAACTTATGGGCGGAGAAGTTTCAGACCTAGTTTTTTCCAAGTCTGGTACCACCGTGATATTACTTGCAGGATTACAAGGCGTAGGAAAGACAACTGTCTGTGCAAAACTCGCCTTCTACCTTAAGAAGCTGGTGCAGTTCACAGCCTGCATTCTCTGATTGCTTCCATTTTGATGATGATTCTATTACATTTATACTAAGAGATATTAGACAGATTTCAGGGTAAAAGTTGTATGATGATTGCTGCAGATGTTTATAGGCCCGCAGCCATTGACCAACTTATGATTCTGGGTGACCAGGTATGGTTTTTGTACGTTGACCAAAGCTTTACATCTATAATCCAAGGTTTAATTGCATTTTTATGCTGAATTTTAATGTTAATTTAAAGTTGATTTATTTCTTGGGGTTTTTAAGTATGCCTTACTGAGTTTTGTAGATTTCGATTTCATCCTAGTTTATAATTGTGACAGGTTGGCGTACCTGTTTACAAAGAAGGGACTGAAGTAAAACCATCACAAATAGCTAGAAATGGATTGGAAGAAGCAATTAAAAGGAGGATTGATGTGGTCATAGTGGACACTGCTGGAAGATTACAGGTTATATTGGAGTTGCTTAGTTTAGCTTGGGTTCTTTGTTTTCTACTTTAGTGCCATTTCAAATTATAATCAAGTAGGGTTTATTGTAGAACGTTGGTGTATTCATGAATTTTGAGGTATTTCAGTTAGCTTAAAAAACATTAGCCCATGAAGCAGGTAGCAATAAGAGTAATTGCCAATCCAATCTCAGTTAGTAAGTGTTTGAGTCCTAAATACTTTCGGATATAATTGTAATGTTGCAAACTAGGAACAGAGGTTGACACCGGAATGGAGGTATTGTATGAAGGGCAGAAAAGTAGTAAGCTTTTGCAAGGTACTTGTTGACGACGACAAAGATAACAATAACATTAAGCCTTTGTCCCACTTCGTGGGGTAAGCTATCCATTGTCTACTATTAAGAGTCAAATTCTCATTTAGATTTAATAAAAAAAGTCATTTATAATATTTTTTAACCAAATCTTTTTAGGCCTACCTCTACCTCTTAAAATAGGCCAAATCTAATACATCTACTCTCCTAATCGGGTTATCAGAAGGCTGACGTTTTATGTGACCAAACCATCTAAGGCGACTTTTTCTAAAATCTTATCTATCATTGGAGCTACTAAACCCTTTTCACGTATCTACTCATTTCACATTCTATCTCTAAGAGTAAAGCCACTCTTCCACTTGAGCATTCTCATCTCTGCAACACTTCACTTAATTGTATGCTTCTCTTTTAATGGCCAACATTTTGCGCCACCATCTTATAGAATTTTCCAACCCTTTTCACGTATCTTATAACATTTTGCGCCACCATCTTATAGAATTCAAGTTTGAGGGTATTTTTCTATCACACAATAGGCCTGATGCATTTCTCTGCTTTACCCATCCAACTTGAATTCTACTAAAAATATCCCCATCTATTTCGCCATCACTCTGGACATTAGACCGGATATGTCTAAAACGTGTACTCTTATTAATGACTTGATCGACCAAAGTCATAATCCCCCCATTAGAACTATTACTACTAAAATTACACTCAATGTATTTGGTTTTATATCTACTCAAATGAAAACCTTTAGACTCTAATGTTGGCCTCCATAATTCAAGTTTGCATTCAACTCCCTCAACTCCCTCTCTAGGTTTATCAATAAGAAGAATATCATCAACAAAAAGCATACACCGTGACACATCCTCCTGCAAATGTCTAGTAAGAACATCCATGACTAAAGTAAAAAGATATAGGCTTAAAGCTGATCCTTGTTGTAATCCAACTAAAATAGGAAAATATTTGGTCCAACCTCCTTATGTTTGAACACAAGTAACATCTCCTGCATACATATCCTTGATGACTTGAGTATAAGCATTATTAACCACTTTATTTTCTAAAACTCTCCATAGCACTTATGATGTAGAACTACATGTATAGGCAAATGTGATTGATTTGAAAATTACACCTTTGTGAACAGAGCTTTGCAATTAATTAACTTCTCGAGTTCTTAACAAAGATTTAAGCCAACCAGATAATGATTAAGATCAGACAATTAGTTACTTGAGAAAATTAGGATAATAAAATAATCAAATTAAAATTATGTCATGCTAATGTGAGGCGTTAAAAAAGAATCCTTGAATTAACATTTAGATTAAACACTATAAAGATCCATTCACACAATGTTCTTAGTAGGGTTTTAAGTGGAGACATTTTCACGATCATACGATGCTCCGAGTTGATGGAGGATGATTAGGCATAGAGATCCATTCACACAATTGATGGAGGATGATTAGGCATAAGGGGAGGGGGGAAGAGTTTACCCGTAGGAAGAAGATACTAAGCTCCGACGAAGTCGTTGAGTGCTTATGAGGGGAGGGAAGCAATAAGAACCCATCTTACATGTCGGGACAACAATCTAACATTTTATGGACATTTGGACAGCCATCCGACATCTTCCAGAAATTTGGACAACATTCCACTTGTTCTAGAAATCTGGACAACAATCATGTAAGGCTCAAATATTGGAGTAGTTGATATTAGGGTGAGAAAACTACGTAGGTGGCTAGGGAAACATGGGGGAAGTTGTTAGCAACATTAGACGAGCGGTCTAAGGTTGTGGCTGACCATGGGGAGGGGAATTTATCCTCTATTTAGAGAGTGAGTAATTGGGGATAATTAATTGGAAAGAGCAAAAGAGGAAAGAGGGTAGAGGAGGGGGCAGAGGCTAGCTTGAGGGGAGGAATTGATTTGGGGAGTTAAGAGACTTGCGAAACCTAGAATATTAATTAATGAAGGATGAATTATAGCAAATCTCAAAAGAGGAAAGAGGGAATTAAGGAATGAGGAATTATGGCAAATTTCTACTTAAATTCAAATTGGTATGGGGGGGGGGGACTTTTCTCATAACTCATCTTATTTTAAGAAAGAAATACAAATTCAAATGAATTTAAAACTTTCCTAATTTAAGATGTGTCAAATATGGAAAGCATTGATTACTTGATTTGAAATCTTGGAGCAATGGGAAAGAGGGGATGGCCGGCGGCTAGGAGGGGAAGGGGTCGGTGGTTAGAGGGAGGAATCGGCCAAAGGGGTGGGAAAGTTGGCCGACGGCTTAGAAAGGGGAAGGGGGGGCTAGCGGTTTGTGGTGGGAGTCGGTCAATGGGTGGGTTATTGAGTGGCCAGCGGCTAGGGGAAGGTGTGGGCCGGCGGCTAAAGCAAAATAGTAAGACAAAGTTGAGATGGAAATAAACCATGAGCTCTTCCTGCTTTTGATCGGTAGTGCTTTGCCCTCACAAAGGGACTTCAAACTCTCACAAGAGTTCTCACAACTCTCCAAGATACAAAGTGCAGAAATTTTTTTATTATCATAATCATCATCCCCTCCAAAGAGGGAGAGGGTTCCATAAATAGGCAAAATACAATAACATGTCCAATGACAAAAGTGCCCCTTGGGGTCACATAAGCCTACTCCCTAAAGTGAGGGTAAAAACAGAAAATATACATAATAAAATCAAATACAAATAGATGCTCAAAAATAAAGTGGCCTAATCGTAGCCGTCGATCTTCTGCTCCTTATCTGATAGACTTTCAACGGTCGGATGTCCTCATCATTCTCCAGGGGTAAAAAAGAGTTCGACTCCATTGACTATGCATCTTAAGTGCTCTAATAGATCTTGAGCGCATTTAAACTCGGCGTAGGGAATATAAAAATTATCCTGAAGGATAGAAGTCATATTCACCTATCATTTTAAATATGAAATTGACCCTGGATTGGCTTGATCGGCATCCAAAGATTTTTCACTGGGATCTCGGTTCCTATAGAGGCAAGTCTCTATAGTCGATTACATTTCCGAAGAGAAAACTTTCGATTAAAGTGGAGATTAAGTTCTAAACTTATAGTACAATCATATATATAAGCAAGTTGCCTTAGATATTTTGAAAATACCAATAATCCATTTTAAAATATCATTAAATTTTATATAAAATATATTTGTATTTAAAAAGTGAGTGTTTAAAAAGTGAGCAACCATTTGGATCATGGTAAAACAATATATGTTACCATTTGTCTCGCTATGTATCTGACTTACTCTTTGTCTCTTTCATCAAAGAAGAATAGAGCTCTAGTTGAACCAAGCTGGGAGATTTTCACGAATGTTTAATCAAATAAATTATATTTTATAGTGATCTCATAGGGCTGAGTCTAAATGTTGACAAAATTAGGAATGATGTAGTTGAGTCATATGGATATTTCTCATCTAGTGGCTTATGGTCCATGTTACTGACTCTATTCTTGATGTTAAGCCTGCATCGCCAGCCCACTTTTTGAGTCAAGTCAACCTCTGATGAAACTGCACTACTTTGTTGCTACATGTGTGATTCCATTGTCTCACAAAGGGGTGGATTTGCAGGCCACATCTTGGGCGAGGTTCAAACTTGAAATACTAATGAATAATTATTGTAGTTATCCGCTTCCTTGCATGGCACGACTGAAATTGAGATTGTTCTTCCTATCAGATAGATAAAGCAATGATGGATGAGTTGAAGCAAGTGAAGCAGGTAACAAATCCTACTGAAGTCTTGCTTGTAGTAGATGCAATGACTGGCCAAGAAGCTGCAGGTATTGCAAGTTGCAAGTTGATTACTAACTCATTGTGTTGGATAACAGTCTGCTGTTTGTTTATGCTATTTTTGCTTTGGAGGAGTATGAAGTTTTCTCCTTTATTTCCTCTCTTAAGCAGTCAAAAACCAACAATGATAGAAAGTAGAGAGTTTTCTCTTCAAGCGGTATTTTGCATGATGTTATACAAAACCTGTCTGCTTTGGAGGACTATGAAGTTCTCCTTTATTTCCTCTCTTAAGCATTCAAAATCTAACAATCATAGAAAGTAGAGAGTTTGATAGAAAACACTCGTAGATCTCAAGTATTTCTTATCAATCTTCGGAAAACAGCGAAAATCCTCCACACAAAACCAAGAAAATAGTAAAAAATTTGTATTATTTGATGAAATAGAAAAGAAAAATAGCAAGATACAGTTGATCCTCAATTCGAGAGGAGGATCGATCTCTCCAAATCTCTACATGCCTCTAGAGCCAAAAAAAAACCTAAATCTAGGAGATCTCAAATTTCAACCAAATTCAAGATGCAATAATCCTAGGAAATCAAACTATTTAATGCATACAAATAAAAAGGAAATCCCTAAACAATCCCTACATTCACTTTCCCTCTTAAACTTCCTAAAAAATCCTTCCTAATCCAGTTTTCTGGATCGTGCGGCGTGGACAGCATGCACAGGAGGCGGAGAAGTTCTGCCTCTGTTGCGCTGGGCCGGCCCCGTGTGGACCGGCTGGACCGGTCTAACAGAGTTTTCTCTTCAAGCGGTAATTTGCATGATGTTCTACAAATCCTGTCTGTTTCTAATTATAATTGAAATTCTAATTTTTCTTTTGTTATTATATTCATACATATTATTCTCTTACTGTATCCATACATAATTCTTCTCCTGCTTTCAGCCTTGGTGACAACTTTCAACATTGAAATTGGAATAACTGGTGCAATATTGACAAAGCTGGATGGTGATTCAAGAGGTGGAGCTGCTTTAAGTGTTAGAGAGGTTTTTACTCTACCCCCAGCTTGGTACTGGTGCATGCGCACTCAGACATAAGCATGTTCTGTGTTCAAATTATAATGGCCTTTGCCAGATCAAACAATCCCCTAAACTGAGTATAGAAATAATCTTAGAATCTTATTTTATGTTTGGCATTCTAAATGAGTTAATTCTGTTGGAAGTATGAGAGAACATCATGCAACCAAACATCTATGTCCAAATTTTTTACGGCATAGTACTTTGTGTTCCTGCCCTGTCACCATCAATCTTTAGCTGGAAAGATAACTTTATCATCCTGAAACAGTTATAATCCGTCATTGTCAGCATCTTTGTTTTTTTTTTTTTCATGTTCATCAGGTTTCTGGAAAGCCAATTAAGCTTGTAGGTCGGGGAGAACGATTAGAGGATCTTGAGCCTTTCTACCCCGATAGAATGGCTGGACGCATCTTAGGAATGGGTGATGTGCTATCATTTGTTGAGAAGGCCCAAGAAGTTGTGAGTGTTTTTCTTTTTTCTGTTTGAATTTTTTTTTACATTTAATTGTGTTCCTAAACAATAGTACTGCTAAAACAGATGCGGCAGGAAGATGCAGAGGACCTGCAGAAGAAAATCATGAGTGCTAAATTTGACTTCAATGACTTTCTAAAGCAGACACGAGCTGTTGCAAGAATGGGTTCTGTGAGTCGTGTACTTGGAATGATACCAGGCATGGGCAAGGTACAATCTCTGGACTATTTATTTTCTGTTATGAATTCTTGAATGTGTAAGAGGATTCTTGGATGAGAGAGAGACAAGAAAGGGAAAGAGAGAGAGAGGAATCACATGAATTTCTTATTCCTTTATTCAAATGGGCTTGTATAGGGGGTACCACACATACATCAACCTATAATCACTATTTATACGGATTTACATTGTTGCGGTGTCATGCGGAACAACTAATCTAAAAACTGGACCAACACCCAACGATCTCCACATTGGTCCAAATTTTACATTCAAAGAACCACGTGTGCGCCTGCTGCGATCTGACCGGCATCCTGCACTAATTTCACTAGCAAATCCGTCGAGTCAGGCCCAATCCCGCTCTCGCTCAACCTCCATTATGCGTTCCGGTCAACGGCTCTAGCTCACGCTCCTGCTCGTTCTAAACAGCGCGCACATGTGTCTATCACTGTTCCTTCCGCGATCTGCACCCTTGTGCCTTGTGCATCACCAGCTCCTGTGAGCTTCTGGCCCACGCATTTGCTCTTGTGTCGAGCACCCTCTAGCTCGCTCGTCTTCCTCGGGCACCTGTGCGTACTCCGACCTGTGACTTTGCATGAGCCACTCATCTGATCCCGAGCCCGATAAAAAAAAAGTATCTAAACACATGTCAGCATTTAATTGGAGTCTGGATGTAGAGCTACGTTTGGACTCCGCATAGAATAATTTCTCCTCGAGATCGCCTCAACGAGGCTCTGATATCACTTGTTATGAATTCTTGAACGAGGAAGAGGATTCTTGGATGAGAGAGAGAGGCAGGAAAGGGTGAGAGGGAGAGGAATCATAGGAATTTCTTGTTCCTTTATTCAAATGGGCTTGTAAGGGGTTGCCGCACACACATCAACCTATAACCACTGTTAATAAGGATTTTACATTGTTGTGTTGTCATGCAGAACAACTAATCTAAAAACTGGAGCAACACCTAACATTTTCCCTTATAATAATTATAGAATTATATTCCCGCATGAGGGCCGCTGAACCAGAGACTTTATAAAGTTTAAGAATTAAGATTGATTTCGTTCTATTGTTATCTCCTCACAGTCTTTGGCCACATATTGAAGTTCTTCTTCATAAATTAATTATCTGTTCACTTGGCATTAAGTTTCACATTCAGTGTTTGTAATTTTAATGTTGATGTGGGATCATGCACGGATAAGACCTACGAAAAGCTCTAGCTTAATGATATACTCCCGAGTTCCCAAGGTAGATGTCACAAATTAAGAGTCCTGTCTATTCTCTTTTTTAATGCTAAATATTAACTGGGTCCATTCATAGAATTTAGTATGTAACTAGTTTCATGCTTATTTATATGTAACTAGCATTATATCCTATTTTTAATGAATAAAATATTTGGGAATTAATTTTTGTTCTATAAAAAAAAGAATGGGGCATTTTTCAAAGAGAAAAGGACCAAAATGGTCCCTTAACTCTTTGTGAAAGATCAAAATGATTCCAAACTCTATTTAAAATGAGATTTTTTTTATCCTAATATCCAATATTGGAGTTAATGGTGTTAAATATAAGGGTGTTTTGATCATTTTAATTAAAATTTTATTAAATGTAATTTTTAAGTAATTATAAATTTTATAAAAAAATTAATTAGACATTTCTGTAATAAAAAAATAATAATAAATAAATTTTAATTTCAAACATTTAATAAAATTTTAATTAAAAATCATCAAAATATTATTACATTTGACATCATTAACTCCAACATTGGATGTTATGACCAAAAATATCATATGTTAAAGAGTTGAGGGACAAATTGGTCCCTCAAAAAACTTGGGGATCATTTTGATTCTTTTCTCCTTTTTCAAATGTTGGATCATGTAAGTTTTATTGAGCTCTTTATGTTTTTTTTGTAAGGTGACTCCAGCTCAAATTCGTGAAGCCGAGAAAAATCTTCAAGTTATGGAATTCATGATAAATGCCATGACGCCTGGTATTTTTTTTTCCCTGCTGACCCAGAATGAACCTTTTGTCCATTTGCTATGTTTAATGGCCCATTTCACTATTAATTGTTACAAGATATGTTTTGTTTCTAATAAACGTTTTAAATATGTATTAGAATGTAGCTAAAACTTCAGAACAAGTAATCAGAATTCATAATCACCATTGAGATTGGCTGAAAAGTGGTTTCATTACCCTTCCTAGTTTTTTCTATTCAATTTTAGCTTCTTGGCCTTTCTATTAGCCAATCTGAAAACAGTTTTTGTTTCACGCTAAAGTTCAAAGAACATGATCAATTATTTACACTGCATCATTAACTTCATCATCGTTATCATTAGGCTTGTCCATTTATTTGGTTCTGCTTTTTGAATATTCACTTATACCAGTAATTTGTGTTTGCATTTTCTATTATTCTGACAGTTGCATTTGCACAGCTAAATCTATTGTTTCTGTTTTAATGGCGCAAGTGAAGTTTGATCAAACCCAAAAATATGAATGTTACAGTGCCTACTTTGCTAGTCTTAAAGTTAGATCCGTAAAGATTTAGGAAGCAACATGCACAGCACAGCTATTTACGATGTGATTGAAGTTGTTCTTTTTGAAGAATGTCTGACTTCTCTGGCATAGTTTAGCTCTTTGGTATATAGTGTTTCACATGAAACAAGGATATTGCATTGATTCGATGACATACATTCCTCCTGCAGAGGAAAGGGAAAAGCCAGAATTATTAGCTGAATCATCAACTAGGAGGAAGCGAGTTGCTACTGAATCTGGGAAAACAGAGCAGCAGGTTTGTTTACGAGCGCTGTAGCGAGTCCAATCTTTATCTTTTTGTTATTTATTTATCTAATAAAACTTGCTCCTGCTTATCTCACTAAAATGCAAGTTCCTTGACATAATGGATTCAGGTGAGCCAACTTGTCGCTCAGCTTTTCCAAATGCGAGTTCGCATGAAGAACTTGTTGGGGGTTATGGAAACAGGATCAATTCCAGCATTGAAGGACCTGGAGGAGTCATTAAAAGTTGAAGAGAAGGTAACTGTTTTCTATGACATTCAGAGTATTTTGAAATTATTTCCGATTCCAAAGCATCAGGGTGATAGGGAATACTTGTAGATCTCAAGCATTCCTATCAATAGAGATAAAATCAGCAAATAAACTCACAGAATCTGATGGGGAATCACACCAAAAACAGTAGTTAACAAAGAATTGATCCTCGATTCGAGAAGAGGATCGTTCTCTTTCAATCCTTAGACAAAGCTAAGGCTCAAAAGACACCAAGAAGAAAATTCCCATAATAACACAATAATCAAAACATAACTCTAACCCTAATTTTCTCGTCCTACTTAAAACATACAATTAATTAATCAAGCCAAAATTACTATAGAGCCCTTGCCGCCCCCTCCTTTATCTCTCTCTTTTCCGCCGCCGCTCCTCGAATAAACAAAAACGGGTCCACTACGGATTGGTTGTAGTTGGACCGGTCCACTAGGGACTGATCTAACTCAGGGATAGACACTATTATTACTTAGAAGATTCTAATCTCAAGGATTGAACCTCTTGTGAAAGACAGATGGATTTAAATGAGAAATTGGGGAAGAAAGAAATACAAAAGTGGGAGATGTTTAGTGAGAATAGTTGAAAAGTAGAAAGTTGAACTATTTAGCATTCTTCTTCCTTCAAAACATTTTTCTTATGCCAGAAATCAACAATTATTCATTAAGCGGATAATATATTGGTACGACGATGTTTGTTTTCTTGTTAGGCACCTGCTGGTACTGCTAGGAGGAAAAGAAGATCAGAATCTCGGAGGCAGTTTGCAGATTCAGTTTCTACAAGGCCAAGCCCGAGGGGCTTCGGGAGCAAGACTTGAGAGTAAGATATATAGTGTTCTTTCTTCCCAATCATTCTAATATAATTTTCTCAAGCATTTTAAAACACGAGAGTTGTCCATTAATGATATCTGTTGTTATCTAGAAAGGGGATGCAAAATTTTTATATGAAATCACTTCATCCCTGCAGGCCAAATTAAGAGTCTGTCTTAGGCTTCGTTTGGGACTAGTTTCTTACTGCTTCTTAAAGCAACTTTTTAGTACAAAATTTTTAATTTTTTACTAGAAAGTCGCTTTAAAAAGAAAAAAAAAAAGCCGTCCCAAACGAAGCCTTAGTCCTTTTTGTGGTAATTATAAGATGGTCCAATTACCCTTATTTCAGTTATTAATTTTATTTTAAATTGCTGAGATTTATTTCGCTTTTCTTGGCAAGTTCAGACGACCTAATGAAAGTGGTGCCCAAGAGTTCTTCCATATTGATAGCTGCTTGACTGCAATGATCATTTCCAGATTGATTATTAGAATAAAGAAATAACTTTTAGCTCTAGCTTTCTTTCTCCTCTCTTCTATTCAATTCGCAACCTCTCTCTAGAGAAATTATTCTGTGGACACCGGACGGAAGAACCGTCTGATCATGTGTGTGCACATTGTGTATAAATTTATACAGTGTGTACACACATGACCAGACGGTTCTTCTCATCCGGTGTCCACACAGAATAATTTCTCCTCTTTCTGGGTGGAGGCTCCCCTGTTGTTCCTGCCTCCCTCCCCTTGAAATTTGTTTCATCTTCACTATTGCGACACATTCACAATCATTCATTTGATTTAAAAAAAAAAAGATTACATGTTTACAAATTACAGAACTGGTAGGAAAAAATGCTTACAGTAACATTGGGCATCGAGCACGTTAATGGGTTAATCTGCGTTATCTTGTTTAATAATCATCAACAAAACATATAGAGGAATCGTGTTCAACTCCTCTTCCTCTTTCTTCCCAGCCTATGACGAGAAATGATAATGGTCAGAGACATTCCAGAATATTAGAGATTGTACGCATTTCTAATGAGCTAACTCACAAGTAATTTCATTGACCAAATTGGTGGAACGGGAGGCTAAAATATAGTTCTAAATATCTACATTTTATTTTTTTTTTAAATACAGTGTACTAAAATTTTATCATAATTACAAACAACAAATATGCAAGCCAGCACTATAAGAAAATTGTTATTTAAAGCTTCGTTTGAAATAAATTTTTTACTATTTTTTATAACGGGTTTCTTGCTGCTTAAGCAGCTTTTTAGTGCAAAGATTTATAGTTCTATAAAATTTTTACTAGAAAGCATAAAAAAATTATTCTAAATGAAGTTTAAGGCTTTGTTTGGGACGGCTTTATTACTGCTCTTAAAGCAATTTTTTAGTGCAAAAAATAAAAATTTTGTTTTAAAAAATTGCTTTAAGAAGTGATAAGATAACTGTCCCAAACCTAACGAAGTTTAAGGTTTCATTTGGGACGACTTTTTTAAGGCTTTTTAAAGTAGCTTTTTAGTACAAAAATTTTGATTAAATTTTTGTACTTAAAAGCTGTTTTAAGAAGTAGAAAGAAAACCGTCCCAAATAATGCATAAGTCACCCTCATTACCTTCATATTTATTTATAAGAATGAAAAACCTATCTATTAGCCAATCTGAAAACAGTTTTTGTTTCACGCTAAACCTCAAAGAACAAGATCAATTATTTACACTGCATCATTAAATTCATCATCATTGTCATTAGGCTTTTCCATTTATTTGGTTCTGCTTTTTGAGTATTCACTTATCCCAGTAATTTGCGTTTGCATTTTATATTATCTGACAGTTGCATTTGCACAGCTAAATCTTGATATAATATAATATTATATTGTTTCTGTTTTTATGGCGCAAGTGAAGTTTGATCAAACCCAAAAATATGAATGTTACAGTGCCTACTTTTCTAGTCTTAAAGTTAGATCCGTAAAGATTTAGGAAGCTACATGCACAGCTATTTACGATGCGATTGAAGTTGCTGTTAAATGTCTGACTTCTCTGGCATAGTTTAGCTCTTTGGCATAAATGTTTCTGAAAGGAAGTACTTGAGTTCGCAAGTAACTCTAAGGGTAATACTTGAGTTCGCAAGCAAACCTAGCAAGAATTAGCAAAAACAGCGAGAAATATGGCTGATTTAAGTGGAAATCAGCAAGAACAATGCAGGAAATATAGTAGATTGGAGAAGAAACACAAGAGAAATACTTTGATTCAATCCAAGAACAAGAAAAACAAAGCAAGATACAATTTTCTTCAATTCAAGAGGAAGAAATACTCTCCAAATCTCTAGCAAACCTAGAGCCCTCACCAGAATAAATCTAAATCTCAAAATTTCAGCCAATCTCAAGATAACCCTAACCCTTACCTCCAAGAGACTAATTAAGGCCAAAGGAGACTTACAAAATCCTTAAACAGCCCCTAATTCAAATTTTGCATTGATTCGATGACATACATTCCTCCTGCAGAGGAAAGGGAAAAGCCAGAATTATTAGCTGAATCACCAACAAGGAGGAAGCGAGTTGCTACTGAATCTGGGAAAACAGAGCAGCAGGTTTGTTTTATGAGCGCTGTAGCAAGTTCAATCTTTTTGCTATTCATTTATCTAATAAAACTTGCTCCTGCTTAATCTCACTAAAATGCAAGTTCCTTGACATAATGGATTCAGGTGAGCCAACTTGTTGCTCAGCTTTTCCAAATGCGAGTTCGCATGAAGAACTTGCTGGGGGTTATGGAAGCAGGATCAATTCCAGCATTGAAGGACCTGGAGGAGTCATTAAAAGTTGAAGAGAAGGTAACTGTTTCCTATGACATTCAAAGTATTTTGAAATTATTTCCAAGTTCCAAAGCATCAGGGATAGACACTATTAATATCAATTACATTGTATTTTAATATTTTTCAAACAAGCCATCTCACAAATTGTCGAGCCATTTCAAGACTAGCTTAAATATAATTTATTAGCTTGTCAAGCTCAGCTTATGAGCCCTTTAACTACTTGAGCTTGTGCCAATTCACACAAGCTAACCTCCATTTACACCTGTAAGTTGTCCTATAATCATAATTTTCAATCTTTTTTATTGAGAATATACATCCATGTTTTATGAGAAGAGTTGAAAAGTAGAAAGTTGAACTATTTAGCATTTTTCTCCCTTAAATGCCAGAAATCAACAATTATTCATTAAGCGGATAAAATATTGGTACGATGATGTTTGTTTTCTTGTTAGGCACCTGCTGGTACAGCTAGGAGGAAAAGAAGATCAGAATCTCGGAGGCAGTTTGCAGATTCAGTATCTACAAGGCCAAGCCCGAGGGGCTTCGGGAGCAAGACTTGAGAGTAAGATATATTGTGTTCTTTCTTCCCAATCATTCTAATATAATTTTCTCAAGCATTTTAAAACACGAGAGTTGTCCATTAATGATATCTGTTGTTATCTAGAAAGGGGATGCAAAATTTTATATGAAATCACTTCATCCCTGCAGGCCAAATGAAGAGTCTGTCTTTTACTGCTTCTTAAAGCAGCTTTTTAGTACAAAATTTTTAATTATTTACTAGAAAGTCACTTTAAAAAGCAAAAAAAAAAAAATCGTCCCAAACGAAGCCTTAGTCCTGCATAGTAAAAGAACTGGATTTGTGTCCTTTTTGTGGTAATTATAAGATGGTACAATTGTCCTCATTTCAGTTATTAAATTTATTTTAAATTGTTGAGATTTATTTCTCTTTTCTTGGCAAATTTAGAGGACCTAAGTGGTGCCCAAGAGTTCTTCCAGATTGATAGCTGCTTGACTGCAATGATCATTTCCAGATTGATTATTAGAATAAAGAAATAACTTTTTGCTCTAGCTTTCTCTCTTTTCTCTTCTACTCAATTCGCAACCTCTTTCGGGAGATATTGTTCTGTGCAGACACCGGAAGGGAAGAATCATCCGGTCATGTGTGTACACACATCACATGACCGGACATTTCTTCCCGTCTGGTGTCCGCACATAATAATTTCTCCTCGTTCTAGGTGGAGGCTTCCCTGTTGTTCCTGCCTCCCTCTTGAAATTTTTTTTCATCTTCACTTCTGCGATACCTTCACAATCATTCATTTGCTTAAAAAAAAAAAAGATTACATGTTTACAAATTACAGAATTGGTAGGAAAAAATGGTTACACCAACAGTGGGCATTGAGCACGTTAATGGGTTAATCTGCGTTATCTTGTTTAATAATCATCAACAAAACATATAGAGGAATCGTGTTCAACTCCTCTTCCTCTTTCTTCCCAGCATATGACGAGAAATAATAATGGTCAGAGACATTCCAGAATATTAGAGATTGTACGCATTTCTAATGAGCTAACTCACAAGTAATTTCATTGACCAAATTGGTGGAACGGGAGGCTAAAATATAGTTCTAAATATCTACATTTTATTTTTTTTTAAATACAGTGTACTAAAATTTTATCATAATTACAAACAACAAATATGCAAGCCAGCACTATAAGAAAATTGTTATTTAAAGCTTCGTTTGAAATAAATTTTTTACTATTTTTTATAACGGGTTTCTTGCTGCTTAAGCAGCTTTTTAGTGCAAAGATTTATAGTTCTATAAAATTTTTACTAGAAAGCATAAAAAAATTATTCTAAATGAAGTTTAAGGCTTTGTTTGGGACGGCTTTATTACTGCTCTTAAAGCAATTTTTTAGTGCAAAAAATAAAAATTTTGTTTTAAAAAATTGCTTTAAGAAGTGATAAGATAACTGTCCCAAACCTAACGAAGCTTAAGGTTTCATTTGGGACGACTTTTTTAAGGCTTTTTAAAGTAGCTTTTTAGTACAAAAATTTTGATTAAATTTTTGTACTTAAAAGCTGTTTTAAGAAGTATAAAGAAAACCGTCCCAAATAAAGCCAAGTCTTTAACAAATAGTGAAATTCAAAAGCACTTAATAATAATTTGTCAGATAGATTTCTTGCATCAGTATCATCGGCATAACCTGTACCAAAAGGAAACATAGTTAAGTTGAATCCCAAATTTCAATCATTAGAAATACTTGAAGTATAAATCAGAAACAACAAAATAGATATACAAATTCCATTAAAAAATAAAATAACATTAAATTCAATTGAAGGAAAAGAATGCATGTGAAGCATTATAACAAATTAAGATTTTATTTGGGATAGTTTTTTATTGTTTTGTAAACTAGTTTTTTAGTAAAAAAAATTTAGTTTGAAAATTTTTTGTATTAAAAAACTGTTTTAAAAAATAATAAAAAAATTAATCCAAATAAAGCCTAAGGCTTACGCTGGGATAGCTTTTGATTATTATTTTTTTATCACTTTAAAATTTTTTATTAAAAAGTTATTATAAATAGTAAAAAAAAATTATCTCAAATAAAACCTAAAGAGCGAAAAAAATTCATGTCAAAGCATGAGATGCAGAAGCAAGCTAAAGAATATTTATCTTTATCTTTGGCCTTCTTCTTAAAGAAAGAAATTAAGTAATGTATTAAAATTTATACAAGATGAAAAGAACCACTCCATAAGCATGACACATATATAAGGTCAGATAAATCAACTTTAAAAAGCAGTAAAAAAGTTATTTCAAACTAAAGCTTCATTTGGAACGGGTTATTTACTATTTCTTAAAACAACTTTTTAATGTAAAAATTAAAATTTTTGTACTAAAAAATTATTTTAAGAAACAGTAAGAAAGCTACCCCAAATAAAATCTAAGCCTTAGATTAGCATATAGATTCTAAAAGGATGGACTGTAATAAGAAGTAATTTCTAATAACCAAATGTAATATAATAGTTATGAGAAAATTCTTATTTGATTTTTTCAAAAAGAGAAAAAAATATAATTCTTATAACAATTTAAAAATATACATATTTCTCATAAGCTTTATATATTTATTTTAAGAAATACAATTAAAATAAGCCCAAACAAATCGATTTTAATGATCTATTTGGACTATAACAAATTAATTTTAGTGAAACAAATTTATTATATTCAAAATAATTTAAAAATATTTTTCTCATTGACAATATTATTTATAAAAAAATACAGTCAACCAAAATTATTTCTAAGTAGAAAGAAATTCTGAAATTATTTCTTCTGAGAGCATGCAAATGTTCTGTGGGAGCTCTGTAGTCCCTTTCTTGGTATTCAACATATAAATAGTAAATGCATTGAAGCTTCTCTTGTTCTGTACACATCAATAAAGCACTAGAAAGCTAAGGGACAAATAAATTATTGACTAGCTGTGGATTAGTCTAAGCTTTGGCTAATAAGTAAATGGGCAGAGTAAGCACTTAGGAATAATTATTATGTGCGGTGTAAGGACGGTGTAGGGGCGCCGTCAATATTTTTCTCTTCTCTTATATGAAGAGTGTGTACATGAAAGAGAAAATTCAAGTGTCTTTACGTGATTGAAGTACGAATTAAAAACTAAATCCAGACTTCGAACGTAATAATCTCTCGAACTAGGGAGGATGCCAGTAGCCTATATGTTAATTGTTTTTAGCTAATATTGGGCTACACGGCTTTTATAAATTAGTATATTCTTCATATTGCTTTTCTTGTAGTCTCATAACTCTATAAATAAAATGTCATAAGACAATTAGAAGGACAAGACTAAGGCTTCGTTTGAAGCCGTCCCAGACGAAGCCGAAGAATATTTATAATCTCTCTCTTACTCGCTCTGTCAATTTTTACTATCGGTTTACTATTACATAGTAAAGTCTTGCGAGTCATAGAAGTAAAATCAATCTGAATATCACTCAACGATAAATTTGAATTCAACAATATCTTTCTACAATTTTGAAGACCATGAAAACTTAAGAAATTGAATAATTATGAACTTTTTAATTCAAATATTTATGAGAATAATTTATAAATACAATATTTTATTTATTTATTTAAATAAGGTTAATAGATCTTAAAGCTGTTTGGTCTAAATCAGTCGGCTAGCCTGTCAACTTGGGCAAATTATTGCGTCTGGTGTTCGGATTCGTCCGGACACCAATCCAGGCGCGCCACATCAGCAACACACCGGGCCTTGATGTATTTGGGTGACGTGGCGCATCTGAATTGATTGTCCGGACGTCAGGTGACCGGACGCAATAATTTGCCGTCAACTTGAAAGCAAGCTAAGACTTCATCAGGATGACGATAATGTCTTCTTCCACCAGAGCTATACAAAGAGCTTCAAATGCTTTCATCTCCTACTTTGAGCTTTTGAATAGTTACAAATGATTTATTGAGCCTTACCACTTTGCATATTAAAGTTAGAAAGACTATTTAGTAGTCAATAAGCACCATTAGGGCCTAAAATTTGGTGAGGTTGGTAGTGAAGAGAGGGATATATGTTCATAGTTGAGATGGAAGCTTCAACCTTATCATTCAAATTATTGTATTTTTTGAAGTGTAGTTCTTCTCATTACATAATATATATGTTCATCACTCCCACCCTAATTCTTAAGGTTTGTGCTATCATCTTCTAATTGTAGAACGTGATTACTAGACATTCATACATTATTGTTTTATTTGAGACACGTTTCTTATTATTTTCTATTGCAGTTTTTTAGTATAAAAATTTTCTAGTACAAAAAAAACCTCATACTAAAAAGCTGATTTAGAAAGCAGTAAGAAAATTGTCTCAAACGAAACCTATATTTTATGAAAGTTTCATTGAGTTTCCTTTGATATTATTTTAATTATGTGGATATAAATAATCTGATCAATATAAAGAAGTTCTCCCAAGCGAAGTCTTAGCTTTCGTTTGAGACATCTTTCTTACTGTTTCTTAAAGCAGCTTTTAGTATACAATTTTAAATTTTTAAACTAAAAAGTTGTTTTAAGAAGCAACAAGAAAGCCGTCCCGAACAAAACCTTAATCTCTCTTTAAAATTAGCCATATCCCTATCTCTTATCATCTATATTCATCATCCCTCCCTTAGTTATGAAGTCAAATAGGATATATAATCACCTATATTAAACCTAATTAGAGACTAAGATCACCTTTAATCATGAAAATATTAAAGTCACATCACTAATTAAATACTATCTTATTTTGGCAGCTAGCTGGACTATTTGTCCACTTATAATATGAAAATTGAACCAAATAGCTTAAAATCCAAATCACATGACTGCAATATAATATTTAAATAAGCCTTTCAAAATAAATGTTGTGTTGATAGCAGAGAAAGGGAGACTGCTATGTCTTCTCAGCAAATATTGGCTCAATTTTCAGAAATCCAGATTATTTAATTTATTTTATTATTTGTTTGAAAGCGAGACACCAACTTCCTAATTATGCCTTTTTTCAAATTATTATTATTATTATTATTATTTATGATTAATTTGACAAGCAATTACATAAAATCAATTTTTCTAAGACATACAAATTAACCTGAGAAATATTACACAATAACTAGAAAATTAAAAAAAAATATGCTAATTTTTGTGGTGGAAGAGAGTGATCTAGTTTAGTATCTTAACTTTGTACGAAGATCCACCACACAAATAAATAAGAGAGTATGATTATAGCGTTTATAAGAGACATCATAATTTTTACGTTGAAGCCCCTAAAAGGACAAAAATCACTTGGCCTAGCCCATTTTAAATGAATTCACTAGTGTTTGCAATTGATTACAACTGAGGCCCTTCCATAGGGGGAAGGTCTTGGCTTGATG